AGGTATGAAGACTGTTTTAACTTACGGTTTGTTACCAGTTCCAGAAGAGGCTCCCACACTCCTTAACGGCCGTCCTTTCAATTCAACCGCGATTTTAATCTCTTGGAAGAACATACCGCCTTCTCGTCATAAAGAAAAACTGTTGGGTTACCGGATTCAATACCGGAGCCTCTGGTCCGAGATCTATGAAGAAATAAATACCACCAGTAACTTGGCGCAAGATGTTATTACACAACTCCGTCCAGACACAGCATACGTGATTATGGTCAATGGCTTTAATCAGATTGGCCACGGGCCAACGAGCTCGGTCCTTGTCTTAAAAACCCTATCCTCTGGTAAGTAGGGTATTTACCGCTTTCAAAGTAAGCTGCCAAAGAACAGTTAAGAGCATTGTTAGATATCCGGGTGTCAGTAACTCGTTATGAATAGATCTCACAAGATGTCATGAATTGGACATGATGGTGAATGCCACTGAACATAACATGGATAAACTTATGTTTGAATTCTCTTTTCACATAACTGAATCACTGATCTGAACTGATTTTAGAATTTGGAGCCAGTCATTCCCAATTTGAATTTTAGTTCGTCATGTGCAACACTATTTTCATCCCCAGCCATGTGTGTTTCTTTTCTCTTGTTACCACTTCCCTGTCTATTTTTGTCTATTTTCATTTTTTTTAGGTGAATACATATTTGAGGTGGACTTCCAGCTAATAATCGACTCTAACTTCACCAACGATCTACTCAATAGTAGCAGTAAAAGGTTCTTGGAAATGACCGAAGTCATAAGATTTTCAGTGAGTGACAGTACTATCTAATTTAACATGCGATCAGTGTAAGGCTAAAATTGGGTTTTCAAATTTCCATATGCTCTGTTAGAATAAACCATTTTTTCTTTTAGATAAAACACCACTTCAATGAATCTTCTATGTTGAAGATATATGACGTAGTAACTATGCAGTTCAGGTAAGATTAGATGAAATCCCAACCCTGACTTTGGCTGCCAAAAATCAAGCGAGAGCAAGGAAACCATTTTTATTCTCTTTCAAGCCTTGTCTAAATTGGCCAATTTTTTGGGTTTTTAAACAACCTTACTTTCAAAATGACGCCAAGTAAATAAGACCTCAAATGAAAATTAAATTTTTTGGCATGTCGAGAATAAAATTTTCCTTTTCCATATTAATGGTTTCGCACTCACCCACATCTTAGAAAACGGAAGCTTTGAGTACCTTGTAGTTTTCCAGTTCTGATGATCAACAGTAATTTACTCATCGTTGACGAATTTTCTTAAGTTTTTAGTTGTTGTTTTCTTTAGAAATGGCAGCGTAAGGGCAGACATTAAAGTCCTTGCGACAATAAATAAAAACACAACGGACAAAGATGATGCTCTGAATCATTTGATAGGAGGGGTGCGTTCGTCATTTGGAGATCGACTTAAAGTTACTTCCATATTGGTTCAGGGTAAGAAAATTCTTTTAGAGATCATCCTGCTTTTACCATCCTACTCTCAGATCATCATATAATTTGAATAACTCGATAAGATGCTAGCTAGTTATGTAATTAGAAAGTTGCGGTTGTTTAGTTATTTATTGATGATACTTCCTTCATTCACTAGAAACACCGAGGCCTCCGAAAAATTTTTCCGTGAGGAATACACAGTCAACATACTTTATTTTGTCTTGGGAAGAGCCAGAATATAACAGCTTATACCAAGTACGCGACTACATCATAGAACGAAAGATATCAAGACTGAAGAACTTTACCGCCATTTGGACAGTTCCATACCCTGAAACCAGAATGATTATAAAGAACTTAGATCCCTCCACAGAATACACCATCAGAATATCAAGCAACAACATGTATGGAAGGTCAAAGGGTGTACTGTTAACACAGAACACACTACCAGGTGATAATAACACCTCGAGTAAGTTTCTCCCTAAACAAACAGCACCAAGTTGATCATTACATACATTATTTAGGAAACGAAATCGTCAAAGATGAAAATAATTGTAGACAAAAACAATTGATGTCAACCAGCGCTATGACAAAGCGCGATTATATAGTGTTGGATACTAGTATTACCATTTGCTTTTGTAGGTCATTTAGAACAAAGTTCTTGTTAGGTGATCGAAATAGTTTAAAGGTGAAGCCAAACGGTAATTAGAAAAAATGCTTCATTATTTTTAAAAACGAAAACAGACATTTAAGGAACCAAAGAGAAGAAAACACTTGCTGTTTGAGCGAAAGGTTACTCTTTCTCGTTGTTTGCTTGTGATAAGTGTTTGCTTTTTTCTAACTTACAGACAGATTCCTCAGAGATTTGATGTTGGTTATGGTCTTGCCCTTATTCTTGGCATCTGTATTCATATTGGGCGTTTGCTTAAAGTTTCGGCCAATATGTAAATCAAAACAGAAGAAAGAAAAGGTAATACAACTACCATTGTATGATTAAGTTATCAAATTGGTTGATGTTTGACACGTGGCATAATTCGTTAGCATTTTATTTTTTGCACTGCTCTTGAAGATTGAATTCTCCATTGAGTTTGGAAACTGGGTTGAAATTCCCGAGTCAGATGTCACTCTCCAAGACAAGCTGGGAGAAGGTGCGTTTGGGGAAGTTTACAAAGGCTTAGTGCGCGTGGATGGAAAAGAGAGAGCATGCGCAGTAAAAAAGCTAAAAGGTAATTATATTTGATGAGGCTTTTAATTGGTTGACTGACAGTCACAAAGTTAAGTCAATTACTGATAAGCAAATTTAATCCATTGATTGATGATTCCTTGATTGAAAGAACATAAAAAAGTCGTGCGGATGTTTGATACAAAATCGTAAACAGAGTTGCTGTGCTTTAAATATCAGTTAATTTTAGAATATTTCTTAACAGCGAATGCCACAGAAACAGAGAGAAGGGACTTGATAAACGAGCTCGCAATCATGGTCACAGTTGGTGGACATCCTAATGTCTTGAGTCTTATTGGAGCTTGTACCAAGACTGGTAACTTTTAGTTAACATCTATTCTTCTTGAAATATGAATTACTAATGTTCTACGTACAGTTTCCTTTCCAGTTTCGTCCTTCAATGTAAAAGCAGATTCCTAATTATGCAACGCTATCAGTTCAACACTTAGCGGCACTTTTTTCCTCGCAACATTAATTGCAAAGTATTGCCGCAAATTCTAGAGTCAGTATTGGTGATTGTTCGTTTGGCCCCAAATGGCTGTTTGTTGGACCAACTAAAGAGGAACAGAATAGATCTATATTACAATGTTACGGATAAACAGATAGAATTCACTCCTCAAGACAAAGTGAAGATAGCCAGAGATGTAGCCTGTGGAATGTTACACCTAGCCAACAAAAAGGTACGAGATAGCATAACGAATTCAGAGAAATCTTTACTGAAGAGAGGAATTATTGATTTCTGTCTTGCTCCTCTTTCATAGTGTGTTCATCGTGACCTTGCAGCAAGAAACGTGCTTCTTGGCGAGAAGAATGTTGCCATGGTTTCCGACTTTGGCTTGTCACGTGATGTGTACGAAAGTGGTGAATACGAAAATACATCCGGGGTACGGCCAGTATGCTGTAAAAAAGTGGAAACGTAGTTGAAAAAAAATTAATATAACTATTTCATGTAAGAAATCCTGTTATCACAACTACATTGCAAAGATTCTTCCCTCTTTGAAGAAGACATTCTTGAAACTTCTGGAAAGCTCTATTTTACAGCCCCTCCCCATAACAATCTTAATTCCCCATGTTCTAAACGAGTTGGGGATTGGGTCCGAATTGGGACCGCAAAGCATCTATGGATTGTTTGAAGGGACAGATTTCAGTTCATTATCACCGTTACCATTTTTTCCTTCTGTGTATTTAGTTTAGCATTATCTTGGTCTTGACAGAGAGTCAAAGTTAGTGTCATGACACTAGTTGGACGGTCAATAAAAATTTATCTTCAGACATTTTACTGAGACAAGCTTTTGATTAAACAGGTAACAAAGGCGGAGATTATTATCTTTCCAATCTTTGAAGACAGTCACAAATAACAGCAGATTTGCCTAATGATGGCATATCCAGTGGAGTTGTTGAACATTGCCAATTTGTGTAAACAATTAGCGCGCACGAAGATCCTTTGGCTGCGTTAAGTCCCTCTATGGCCTTCACAACCTCAGTTTTTTCCCCTGAACCGGCAATGTCGTCATAAAATGCAACCAGGAAAATTCTCATTTTTCGTATAAAGTATTCTTCCTCAGCATTATCTAAACTGAAGTTTCTTAACCCAAACGGTGTTTTTAAATTCCTCTTCCAAAAAGGGAATGTTACCAGTTCGTTGGATGGCTCTTGAGTCTTTGGAGGATTACACCTACAACACTAAGACAGACGTGTAAGGAAAAACTGTAAGAAATTGTGAGGGAAAGATAACATCGTAAAGCTATCTGTTAATAGTTAAAAATTGAGGCCGGGTACTTTTATTATATGCACTGTTATGATATTATAATATGTTTAGACAACAGCATTAAATGCATGATTTCTTTTATCAACTCGATTGCAAAAACAGTTGAATGGTGAACGATGTGATACTACGATTTTATAGGTCAGATGTACGTGATGGCCATTATTAATTGCATGGAAACTATCTAAGCTTTCCCAAGAAAAGGATCATCATAGGAAAAAATTTTAAGTAAATAATGAGAGAAATGAGTGACTGATTAGGTAACTGGCGAACATTTCCCATGACGCCATTGAGGCTTGTCGTTTATGGATCATGCTTTGAGGGGTCTCGAGGTTTTTCAGTTTTTCTAATTACATCGAAGTGNAATTTGGACCAAACTTGAAAAACATCTTAATGCCTCATATGCTCAATAATGTTTGTTTCATAAATTTTTCTTTAAGGACTTCCTGGAGGATAAGAGCGACCATGACTTTGAAAAAAGCTGAGTGGTTTTTGAAAATAAAGATCAGATCAGATCTAGAGGGAATCAAAGATGACCTAATTTTTATTGCAAGTTAATTATGGGGACAATAATACTTAGGTGGAGTCATTTATAAGAATGTTTATCTTGTATGTTTACTTAATTAGTTGTTGGTGTGTTGTGCTTACTTGCACTTGAGCGATAGAACAGGACCTCGTTCGTGTTAGAAGCAGCTAGAACACTAATTAAATCACCTTGAAAGTCCAGATTAAAGAAAGGACATCTTTTTGCAATGAATGATCGTAAAAAAGAAAACATTTTCAAAGTAAAAGTTATTTAGAATGTAGACAATGCAGACAGTAAAGACGTAACAACAAATTATAGCCACAGTGTAGAGATGATGACCTATCAACTCGGACTGCAAGAGACAAACTCCACCTACCTTTTTATTTTTAACACAGTACAACAAGAGATACAGTTCATTTGATTATGGTTTGTAGTATGCCAGAGTCGGTTAGAGCTACTGCATTATGGTTCTTAATACACTTGGCTGTAGCCCCTTAAAAGTCATTCAAACTGAAAATAGTTCATTTCGTTTTGAGGTAGCTTAGCCCTGTCTGTCCATGTAAATCACTCTTTTTTAAGCAGTAATTTTCTCTAGGTGGTTACCAGTGGTAAATATATACGATTATGGCTCGTTCTGACTATCACTTGATTTGGAATTCGATGTTTGTTTATGAAGTGGAATTTTCGTCTGTTATACGAGGTCATCATGTTTAGAAAGCGGCGTGGTCTCCAATCATGGGAGAGTCTCTGGCATGTAGGAATGATGACCGTAAAGAAGTTAAAGAACACGATGAATACGCAGTTGGGACTTACCTTTAAGATGATAAAAAATTTCATGGAACTTTCCTTCCTTATATTCACATTTCTCAAAGCCCGCTATGACAACAAAATACAGGTCAAAGTGAATGGATCAAGAAGACTGGAAAACGGACTTGTTGTCTCCGGAGCTTTCCTAGCGAGAACAACCAGCAGAGCAATCGCCACAAAATTTGAAGAAGAGATTATTCGTCTGAAGGAATTATGTGCTCACATGGACATAACAGTTGAAAAGCTCAGACGAAGACCACTGTTTTTGTAATGCATTATTACGTACGGTATGTCGGCTATTAAAAGAAGATGAACCACCTGTGATACGTATTCTGAAGGCGCTGTAATATTAGAACAAGGGGCGCTTATTAGAATCGGGGCGCTTATTGGAATACGGGCGCTTATTAACAAAAACAGATTCGAAGGGGGGCGCTTATTCGGAAGGGGGCGCTTATTGGAAGGAGGGCGCTAAATCGAATCATTACGGTACTATTTGAGTAAAGGTTATCTCTCAGAATTCAGGCCATTCAATATTTTACTTTGCTATTCGGTACTGTAGGGCTTTAAGTACATGAGCTTGAAACCCAGATATAGTCCCTCTCGGATATCGCCTCGCGTGGCTCCTACGCTTCTTCTGTACCTAGTAACCTCCCGCTTGCATCCATAACTCAATAATGTACGCTGTGATGTTTATCATTTGAACTGTTGATTGATGTCGTCACTTGATAAAGGACTTCACCAACTGTGAAAAACATGCCCGTTTCACGCAGCTATATCAGAGTATGAATGCAAAAATTGCTGCTACTAATGGGGGACCGCTATGATTTCTTTGGATCACATACAAACGCGTAAATGAATGAAATCCCCAGCCCAAACTAAAGGAAAAGGCCTTGGGAACTAGGGGTATAGTGTTCCTTCTAGTGGTTTACGTATACCATATCACTTCAATGAACCAAGAATATTTGTAAAATGATATAGCCGGAGCTATAGATTGCAGTATGTTTTCCATGAAATAAAAGATAAAGAACAGTTTGTCGATTCAAATACTTTCCCTTTTTTTTCAACAAGAATAATGGCAATACCCCAGATGTAGTTTCGTATTCACGTTTTTGGTATAAGTCACATGAAACTTCGACAACAATTTTCTCGCCAAGAAGCACCTTTCTCGCTGCAAGGTCACGATGAACGCTAAGAAAAAAAGGAAAATAGAAATCAAATAATTCTCCAGAAAGCAAATATTTCTCTGAACATGTTGTATCTCGTACTTTTTTGCTGGCCAGATGTAACGTTTGAACTTTTTAGACTACCCTTACTTGAAGAACAAAGATAATCGAAGCGAAATTACATAATATTATCGAACGTAAGTATCAAACACTATAATCGCGCTTTGACGTAACGTTGGTTCATATCAGTTGCTATCGTTGGCAATTGCTTTCCCTTTTAACTTACATCGTAAGTTTTCTAATAATTTCGTTTTGGTAGGTTACCTGTACATATAAAGATCGACTTGGTGCCGGTCATTTAGGGAGAAACCTACTCTAGGTATTATTATTACCTAGCAGAATCTTTTGTGTCCATCAATCAATCAATCAATCAATTTATTTAACGTGGTCAGAACGCTTAGCTAAAAGCTAGTTTACAGGTACGCCACGAAATAAAAAGAAAAAAGGAAATTATAAAGCCTTGTGAAGGTATATAAATTTAAATGAATTAAGAATTAAGAACTAGAATATATAAAATGTAAAATGTAATCATTAAAAACAGGCTAATATTAAAATATAAGAATTTAATAATGTAGTCACCGAGTTGAAATATAATTAAAGATAGATCCTCACCGCGCTAGAGTCCCGTGAGATCTAATGTTTTTAAGTAATTTTTAAAACTAGTAAGTGTCTGTATCTTTCGAGACTCGTCCGGTAAAGCGTTCCATAGTTTCGATGCAGCATATCTCCATGATCTTAACCCGAAGGTTGTTGATTTTACTTTTGGGAGGTCCAGTATTGTGGTGCCCCTAAGATTATAAGTGGAGCACCTAACTGTTATAAGATCACGTAAGCTTTTTGGTCCTGCATCACTAGTTAATATCTTAAAGACAGTGGACAAAATTTTCGCTAATCGCTGTTCACGAAGAATTGAGAGACCGATACGCTTACAAAGTTCCTCATAAGGGGAGGACTTATCTCTAAAAACAAAACGGAGCGCACGTTTGTTCACCAACTCTAACTTGTCAGCTGACTTCTTATTACAGAAGTGCCACGTTTCGGAGCAGTAATTAAAGTGTGGTAAAATGAAGGCTTTGTAAAGATCCCTTCTAGTCTCAAAAGACAACATTTTCTGCATCCTTTTTAACACAGCCACCTGTTGACTGACTTTTCTACATATTTTAGCAATGTGCTTTTCAAAATTCAATTTATCATCGATTGTCACGCCAAGAAGTTCCATTGTGTTGGATATGGGAAGTGGTGACTCCTCACACTTAAACACTGGTTCATCAGTTCCTTTGTGTTTTCCCAACACCATTGCCTGGTATTTTGAACTGTTCCTCTTCATACCATTACGCGCGAACCATATATCAGCACTAATAAGATCGTTGTTGATTGTTTCTTCAATTTTGGAGAGTTGATTGTCGGCGTAAAAGATTTGAGTGTCATCAGCGTAAGTGGACAGAGTGCACTTCTCGATGACATATGAAAGATCGTTCATGAAGATGTTAAATAGTAAAGGGCCGAGGATGGATCCCTGTGGTACACCATTGCAAATAGGTTGCCAATTGGAAAGTGTATTCCCTAGTCTCACTCTTTGGAATCGATTTGATAAATAATCTTTTATCAGGGTGGTTGTTGCTTCATCTGCTCCATATTCTTTTAATTTCAAAACAATCAGTTCATGAGGTAAGGTGTCAAAGGCCTTGGACAAGTCCATAGAGACCAGACCGATCAATTTGTTGTTATCAATTTCTTTTTTCCATTGTTCGGTTAGACTAAGAAGTGCTGAGTCGCAGCCGTGATATTTCCTATAAGCAAACACATATTTGTGATAAATTTCTTCAAAATACGGGCTTATTCGGCAATGAACAATTTTTTCGAAAACCTTCGATAAAGCTGGCAGAATCGTTATCGGCCGATAGTTAGTTTTTAATAGGCTGCAGTCTTTTTTGAGAATTGGAGTGACCTCGCCAAGTTTCCACTGTTGTGGTATCTTAGTTGAAGTTAGAACATGATTAATCAGTGTACTAAGAGGGAAGCATAAAACATCCATCGATTCTTTAACTGCTAGTGGAGGGATCCCATCACATCCAGAAGCCTTGTTTGGAGCAAGTTTCCTCATTACTTCGTAAACATCGATTCTGCTGAAGATCGTCGTTTGAAAGATCGCATTGGTGCATGGTCATCTAACACCTGGTTGTATAACGTCTCCCAGCACCAGTAAACATCGTCTTTATCATCAAAAACGTATGCAGCATGAAAAGGAACTCGACCGAGATCTGTCTGAAAATCATCTCGGTTAAAGGTCTTGAATATCCGTTTCTTGACGACTTCGGCGTTAGCATGTAACATTTTAGTTTTGAGAACCGTGTCAACAGTACACCCTCTGATCTTTTATACATGTTGTTCCTTGATAATATGATTGTGTATTCTGTGGAGGGATCTGAGTTCTCTGTAGTCATTCTGTTTTTTTGGTAAGGATTTGTCCAAACTATGGTGAAGTTCTTCGTTCTTCATATCTTTTGCTTTATAGAGTTGCTGTTTATCTGGTGTAAGCTGCCATACTCTGACTCCTTCCGAGTCAAATAGACTATGTTGTCTCAAATAGCTTAACAGATGATTCCTTTTTGGTGTTTTTAATCTTCCTCATCTCCATCGTCTTTATGCCTCAGAAAATTCGTCATCGGGCATTTCTTCCTCCTTCTCCGCGGCACGATTGTTGTGTTGCCAGTTAAGAGAGTGTCAACTCTCTTAACTGTGTGGATTAATTGTGGACTAATGCCACTCTCGTTACTTTCCAAGTACTTTCACTTCTTAACAG